TGTTCCGGAACCTTTTGACGAAGTTGTCGACTAACTCCCCGTCCTTCTGCTTCTCATCGAGCAATGATCCGATAGATATCTCGGTGTCGTCGTCGAAGAAGTTAGCGAGGAATTTTGTCTCCATGTCGTCCCAGCTATTTACGCTTCCTAGCTTGAGCGAGGAATTTTGTCTCCATGTCGTCCTAGCTATTTACGCTTCCTGGCTTGAGGCGGCGGTACCAATCGAAGGCGGCTCCGTGAAGAGTGCCGACGAATGACCGCACCATCAGAGGCTCATTGCCGGAAATAATACCCAGGTGCGATTTGAAATAAATCAAATGCTGAGTGGGGGAACCCTTCCCATCGAACGGCGTGAAGTTGATTAGATTGAACTTCGCCGGATATGGGATCGATTCCCACTCTCTTGGGTATGGACAGGGAATGCATGTTTTCTTCGTCTCTTGAGCGGAGATCAATGTGTTGATTTTGCTCTCGAGATCTTTGATCTTCAAGTCTTCACTTGTATCTTCATTGGCATCCTCATTACCACCCCCTGCATTGACGGGAGGGTTATTGGCATTGTGAGCTTCATCCCTATCCGTGTGCTCCTCTTCCTGAACAACCTGGTTACGGCGGCTTGGTTCACCTCGCTGGTTCATCAGTGCCTGAATTTGTTGCTCATGCATCTCTCTCATAGTCTGCATGGCCATCTGCATCTCAAACTTAAAGATTTCCTGTTGTTTGGCTATGGCATCTTCGAGCATCTTGGCCACTTGTTCCGTTTGTTGCTCATGCATCTCTCTCATAGTCTGCATGGCCATCTGCATCTCGAACCTAAAGCTTTCCTGTTGTTTGGCTATGGCATCTTCGAGCATCTTGGCCACTTGTTCCGCGCTTATCATCAGTGACTCGCGGGGTTCCCCCTCACTGGACACTGTATTATCTGATGCGACTGCGGAGCAGGTATCCGACTCTTCACCTTCTGAAGGTACTCTTGTCCGAACCCTACCATAAGTTCCTCGTGCGATTGCTCCAGACTGCAGACAGGTTAGACGCTGGGATGCTTTCAGAATCGACTCGAGATTATCCCGTGATGAGGTCTCTTTGCTTGTCATATTAGTGGTGACCCTCGGGAATTCTTCATCTTCAACCACTGTCCTTCTTTGCCGAAAACGCCTACGCCTTGGTTTTGGCAGCGTTTCGGTATTAAGCCTTTCGAACACTGAGATTCTCTCTGGGACTACCTTGATGCAGTTGCACTCAGACAGTACTGCCCGAATGAGCTTTGAACAAGGGCACTGAGTTTCTAGTCTTCGAGGACTTCTCTTTCTGGCTTCGCTCGTACTCCCAGCACGATAGTACAGCTCGTCTGTTTGAAAGTCAGAGCAACCTATCGTGTGTTGGCACGATTTCTCAGGTATAACGTAATCATCATCAGACGACAACGTTTCCTTCTGAGGGAGAACTGCCTTCTTTGGACTTTCAAGAGTCACGCGCCTTGAGACATGCCTTTTTGGGCGTGAATTCTCAGCGGGCTCCTGAACTTCAATGCGCAGCATAGTGCGCTTGGGTGCCATGATTTCTTTGTCATGTTGAGGGTTGCGGCGACCCCCAGCATGTTGCGTCGTTTGGGGATTTCTTAGTGGGCCCAAACGTTCTTGGATTGGAGTTTTGCTTCGCTCCTCAGGAAGTGGACCGAGGCGCTCCAAGACTAACTTCCTTTTCTGGGATGGTCCTGCGGGATCTCCCGGAGCAGTTGTGGGAATCATCGGCGGTCTGGATTGATTCGCCGGAGGTTGAACTGTCAGGGGCTGCAGTTGCTGCTTTTTGGTCTGAACCGCCGCTTCAGACTTCGGCCTCCAAACTTTGCGAGTTGGTGGCGGCTTCTTGGCTACCTCTTTCTGCAGCTTTCTACGGGCTTCTTCAGCTTGAGCCCGTGCCTGCGCTGATAGTGCGCGGCGTTTGCGGATGCGTTCTTCCAGCGTCGAACGATTCCGTTTGACACGGACCCATTCCATTGTTGGCGGCTTGGAGGAACCACCATTCATCGATTGTTGAGGCTTTTTGTCTCTCTTGTTCTTCAGATCCGCGTTGTAGCGAATCCCGTCAACAGACTCCATGGCCTTTGCAAATTGTTTCGCAAGGCGTTGACGTTGCCTTTGGCGGGCTCTCTTCGAGAGAGTCACCACGCCCTCTGTGGCAGAAGAGTTGGCCAGAGCAGATCTGACCTGGTTGGAAACTGGAGGAATCTCACCCGATGCGACTTTGGCATCAAACGGGGCGAGATCTTCGTTGGTGGCTTCGACTTCTTCATACCAACGAACCTTTCTCCTGGAGGAGAACTTCTGGGATTTCTTGGACTTGCGGGGGGAGGTTGATCCGGACGAGGACGACAAGTATTCCTCGAACTTCTGCTGGTCGAACTCGTATTCAACCTCCTCCACGACCGGGATTGAGATCCGCGGCTGCGACGCTCCGATCTCGACAGCGAGATCAGCGGCTCCCACTGTGGTCGCCAGATTGTTCGCGGGAAAAATTATTGCTTTCATTGATTCCATTGTACTCTTGAGTAATTGTTTTTCGATTACAAAAGATCCGGTCTTTTTATAAAATCCGGTTACAATAAAATCAAAAGAAAAATAAAAGTTACAACTTTCCTTTTCCGTCGAACAAATCGCGAGATCCTGTTTTGCGGTCTCTCGCTTTTGTGGGTTCTTCGCCTACGCCAGGGTTAATCCGTGGACCACCGCGCGATCTAGATCCGGTCGGATCTAC